CAATAATTTATACTCACCTACAGAAGGCTTGACCATAGCTTGCAGCTCTTAGTAGTGTCCTTTGTCGTGTAACATCAAACTCATGACCCGCTGCATCAATACAAGCTTCAACTGCCTCAGGCAAGGATGAGCGTATCAATCGCAAATTTTCATCTGCCTGATAAAAAGATCAGAAATTGGCATCTTCCTTAAAAACTCTAAGAAAGTTTTACAAAATAAAAATGTTCATTTCCCGTGCCTTTTCCTATTCATGTACCTTTATTCCAAATAAGTACCATCATAGTTTTACAAGTTAAATAAACAGATTAACTGCCTGAATTAACACAAGAAACAACTTAGCTAGCAAAATTTCAGATTTAGCTTCAGTATGAAATACATAACTGGAACTATAAAAGTTTAAGAAATGACCCACCTTGGCACTTCGTCTGTCAAAATGATCCAAAGCATCATACAGTAAAGCCCCAGCAGATGTGCTTCCAATCTTAAAAATAGATACAGTAGAATCAGGAACCCTTTGTAGAAACTCCATGCTTGTGTTAGATAGTATCCTAACACCGTCACACTCTGGGATGAGAATTACTGGCTCATCATAAAAATATCGAACTGGGTCACCATAAGGACCCACCATCAGTAACATATCATCCCAATAAAGAAGCACACTGTCCATTCCACACCATGCTATCTGCTCTGGAGGAAGAGCTGACTGGAGACAACAAAGTGATAAATAGGTATAAATCATATAGAATCTACCAAAGTTAAGGAAATATCAAGAGAAGAAAAATTGGTCATGACTACATTAACAAATAAAGAGTTGATGTGTCATCTATTGATCCAGAAACATCTCGTCAGCTTATTCACTCTCGAATCACGATTAGAAAGGTAATTTTCAATTTGGCATTGCAAAACATTTATGCAACCAAGACTAAAATTAGATAAGCGAATTCTACATGGAGCATTGTCCCCAGGTTTCTGTCATTATCTTGAAACAATATCATTTTACGTCCTCAGTCAGCTAGAAAATGCAAATTATGTTAAATCAGCATGTCTATGCACACCCTTACTGCAAAGGACTCTATGCTAGTAGTATTTATTCGGCTCAGACAATACTAATAACCAGGAATACCTATTGCAGAAACAGCCTTCAGAAATGCAAGCGTAATTTTAGGCAAAATAAATAAACCGAAACCTCAATTAAAAGCTAACTTTCCATATGAACTCATGACGAAACTTCAACGTGTAGTCTGCATCTAACCTCACAATTATAGTCAATAGCAAGATTCTTGAAGTTCATATCCGAAACAATGATCCGGCCGTCATGTGTAAACAGCGCCAAAAACTTGCCGTTGGGAGAAACCACCATCTTCTGCACCGGCCCCATCAAGTCCCCCATTTCAACATTCTGCACCCCATCCTCCTCCACTATTACAATCCCATCCCCAATTGCAACCAGCACCTCCACATTCCCCGACATCGTGTACTGCGGCTCCATCACCGCCAAGCAATGGGGCAAGAGAAGAGCATCCTCCGCCATCCCCGGGATATCCGCCAACTTGCAAGGCTTCATGGTCCTGAAATCCGGCACGCAAAACAGCTGTCCAGCCTCTGTAACACAGACGACGCCGTTTCCCCAGAAGACGCAATCGACCACATTCTGCTCAAAGCACTCTTTTCCCATTGAGACATTGGGTTCAATGAGCTCGGCGTGAATGTTGTACCGGAAGATGGTACCATCCTGGACAATGCATATTAGGGTTTGGTCTTCCGACCACGACATCCCCACCAGACGTCCACCGGGGTGCTTCCAGACCGTCTCGGAAAGAAGGAGGCCAGCCGAATTGAAGATGCGGAGTTTTCTGAGGGCAGATTCGGCGTAGAGCTGCACAATTTTGGAGTCATCACGGATCACGGCGATTGGGCCACCGAATGGCGCACACGCCACCTTGTTGCGTCCCAAGTCAACATGTTTCCATCTCATCGGGTAGAGCTCCGGTTTTCGGTAGTAGCGGTTGTAGAGGAGCTGCCACTCAGCAGCGACGGAAACATTTGCCATGGTGTTTGTTAGGATTGAAGAAGAGGAGGGTGTCCTCTGCTTCTAGAGAGGGTTTACCAATGTTCTTGGAACTTGAATAGTGAAAGAGATGATTTATGAGAGGGATTGGGGAAGAAGAAGAAGAATGATTACAGGACGAAATGAGGGTTTATTGATATGGAGATTGGTAATTGAGTAATGCTAGAGAAGAAATCAAATCATGCAATATTCCATCTCCGATTGACGACAAGCAATTGATTGTTGCAGAGACACGACGACATACATCTTCATCCAATTTAGCTTTTACGATCCCCCCCAAAAAAAAAAAAAAGAAAAAAAACAGGAAAATATCACATAAAATAAATAACTGAACAAGTTAAAAATAAATTATTTGATTTTGAAAATTGACATAGTCGGGGATAAATGAAATTTAGAATTTAGAATAAACTCCTCTAGAATATTAAAAAAAAAAATCATATTGTAAATAAATATAAATAAATATTATTCAATTTACAAAAATTATTTTCTTGTTGCAAATATATCAAAGTATATATAAATTTCAGCTCAAATGAAGTTCATATATTATAGCATAATTTACAACCAAACTATAATTGATAATTAAAATAATAATGTCATAAATAATTGACATTTAAAAAAATATGAACTGGATTTCCAGGCCCATATTTCCCAGCCCAATAATTTCTGGGTGGCGGGTATCAGTTTTCAGATTCAGTCCGGAAGAGAGAGGAAGCATGGCGTTTTTCCTTTGGCCACGTGTTGCCTGACACGTGTCAGATTTCCAAACGTCCTTGTCACCACCCATCTCTCTCTCACTCGATACCTGTCAACCACCTGGATGAACCAGTGAGCCATTGCCATGCTCTCGCTCATTTTCTCCTCGTCATCACCAACCTTCTGTCTCCGTTCCAAAACCCTAGCTCTAACGACAGCCCTTTCTTCCCTCACCGCCAGAACCACCATGTCAGTGAGCTTACAGTCCCACGCATTTGCAGGCAACCCGTTGAGATCCCGGACCCCGAACCCCGATGACCCATTCTCGCCAATCTCTGCCTTCGAATCCCTCAAAACCCGCCTTTTAGAGAATACGCACCAACCAACTTCTCCTGATTTTAGGGTCTTGCCATTTAGAAAGGGAAGGCCGTTGGCATCTTCTAGTCCGGGCGGTCCAGCGCCGGATTGGCATCTGGGTTGGATCAGTTTGACTGATTTTCGGGGATTGCTGGCCAGTTCCGGGGTGCAGTTGAGTGAGAACTCATTGGTTTATCTGGGTTCGAAGGTTGAGGATGATGTTGTGTATTGGGCTATCGATGTGTCTGACGAGGGTGGTTTGGTTCCTGAATTTAGTAGTAAGCAATTCTGCTTTGTGGAGCTAAGGACGCTGATGGTGGCAACTGATTGGGCCGATCAACAGGCTATGGGTGATTTATCTATTGCAGGCCATGTAAGTTGTGTAAATTTCTCTGTGGTGTTTAGTAGCTTCTCATACCAAATTTGGTTACCTTAAGTTTTTTACGTCATTGCCTTTGAAGATAAGTTCTAGATTTTACATTACGACATGCTTTTGCTGCAGAAGAAATTAATTTTATGTGCTTGCTTTCTTTACATTGATTATATTTTGTTTTCATGGATAGGCCAGTGTTATACTTAAATGAGTTTATAGCTGGATGAAGGAAGTCACATTAGTCATTAGTTTCTCTTACAAGGTTCTTATCGACTTTGGATAGTTGTTTTATGTTATTGATATCCTGAGTTTGTTATTATGCTTGTTCTTGTTTTATGTTGGATAAGAGGGCATATTGCAGTTAGAATTCTTCGAGTTCATATAGTGTCCATTATGTTTGAGAGTCAATAGGGAAAAGAAGGGAAAGGAAAGAAATGGTGGATAAGGAGTGTTTTCCTTCTCGCTTGTTTGGATGTCTGCAAAAAGAGAGCAGTTGCAAGAAAGGGGAAATGAAAAAGTATAGCATATAACTTTTTGGTATTTTATTTTTTAGTTCGGTTAATGGTCACTGCTAAAATCTTATAGGACTTTGGAACAGTAAGGAGGTAATTTCCATTTCATGTCTCCCTCAATCTTAACCAGTTTCAAGTTTATTTGAGGTATTTCAACACAATTGGATATTTTGGCTATCGCAGGATGCTTGCTTATGTGCAGAATTTCTGGCTCACAGATGTGGCTGACTGTTGACCATTTTTATAACACAGAGAATACTGTTGCAACAGTTTTTTCTTAATATATAGTTATTGCATGGTTGCCTTCACATAGCATTCTCTTAGTCAATTGTCTTCCCATTTGTTTTTACTTCTCAAATGGACAGGGTTTTTAATTTCTTTTTGCTGTTTTGATGTGGGGCCGGGAGGGGGCGGGGGAGGAGAGAGGGGTTAAAGAGGAGTAGCTAGTTTTTAATGCACCATCACTTGTGGG